ATAGGGGACATCAGGTTACATGGCGTTAAACATTGTTTGGACCACTGAATTCAGTATTGTGTGTGTGTGTTGAGGAAGTTGGATTTGTAAAGGAATCATCCAGGTAGCCCCCACGTCCCACAGCTAAAGGAGAAAGAATTGTGCTGTTGATTTGTGGACAAGTGACTGTTTGCAGAATTAGGAAACGTGAGTTCTAGTTCAGCTCTGTGGCCTGGGGCAAGTCACTGAACCTAGCTGGCCTTCAGAATCCTTAGCTGGAAGAATGAGAATTAAAATTTAGATGATATCCCTTGAGGTCAGAAATTTGAGGCCAGGCTAACCAAAATGGTAAAACTCAGTCTCTACTAAAAATACAAAAATTAGCTAGGCACAGTTGCGCGCACCTGTAGCCCCAGCTACTTGGGAGGTTGAGGCAGGAGAATCGCTTGAACCCAGGAGGCAGAGGTTGCAGTGAGCTGAGATTGCACCACAGCACTCACTCTAGCCTGGGTAACAGAACAAGATTCAGTCTCAAAACAAACAAACAAAAACAACAACAACAAAATTTAGTTGATCTCTAATGCCTCACTTAAAATTTTTTGCCAACTCTCTTTCATGATAGTGTCATTGTTTTAAACCAGTTTTCAAAGTGGGCCACCTGCATCAGTGATTCTTATAGGTGGTGGGGAATGTCAGAAATACCGTCACTGGCCCCCATCTGATCTTCTGGCACCGTGTGCCTGAGAATCTGCATTTTAGCCAACGTCACAGGTGATTCTTATGAAGAGTAGACCTCAGAGCAGTTTTAGGGCTTGTTATTAGTTCTTTTTCTTCAGATTGCCTCAAAATTACAGTCAACACTTAAACTGCTTTTCTTCTAAGAATCTAAGAGATTTCAGAGCTTTACTTTGAGAGGGATAAAGTTGTAATCACCTGACATTGTGAGTAGATTTAAATGTTTAATTTTTGTTTGTAATTTATGTTTATAAAGTATAATTTAGGAAATATTAGAGACAAAAAGAAAAAAGTTATAGTAGCCTTAGCAAAGCAGTTTTCCTGTATATCCTTCCATGATTTTTCTAATACATATATATGTAAATATAATTATTTACTAATGCCAGTAAGCAGCAATGAGAACAAAACCTCTTTTGTGTATTTGTTTCCCATGAGTAAAACTTAAGACTTCAGATTCAGATGAATTCTGGTGTGTTATAAAGCAGGTCTTTCCTACAAGGGGTGGAGAGGCCAGCCTTTCTTCCCTTGGTGGGAATGGCCTGAGCTGTGTTGTAGATGCTGATTTGTGTTCTGTATCATGAGGGAATCAGCCTAGTGATCTTTCCTAGTTTCCATTAAACTTGAACTGAGAGGCTGGGCACAGCGGCTCACGCTTGTAACCCCAGCACTTTGGGAGGCCGAGTCAAGTGGATCACCTGAGGTCAGGAGTTCGAGTCCAACCTGGCCAACATGGTGAAACTGAATCTACTAAAAACACAAAAATTAGCCGGGCATGGTGGCATGTGCCTGTAGCCCCAGCTACTCGGGAGGCTGAGGCAGGAGAATTGCTTAAACCTGGAAGGTGCAGGTTGCAATGAGCTGAGATCGCGCCACTGCACTGTAGCCTGGCAATAGAGTAAGACTCCGTCTTGAAAGAAAACAACCTGAACTGAGACAAAAATTAAAAATAAGGCCAGGCGCGGTGACTCATGCCTATAATCCCAGCACCTTGGGAGGCCAAAGCAGGCAGATCACCTGAGGTCACAAGTTCAAGACCAGCCTGGCCAACATGGTGAAACCCCATCTCTACTAAAAATACAAAAATTAGCCAGGCATGATGGCAGGTACCTGTAATGCCAGCTACTTGGGAGCCTGAGGCACAAGAATCTTTTGAACCAAGAAGGCACAGGTTGCAGTGAGCCGAGATCACACCACTGCACTTTAGCCTGGGCAACAGCACAAGACTCTCTCTCAATAAAAAAAAAAAAAAAAATTAAAAGTATTTACCAAAGTAGGTTTATTTTCTCCATGCTATTATATGGCCTATTTTTAATACACACCACGCTCATCTTTCTATGTTAATATTCTCCTACATAAAGATTTGTAATGGCTGTATAGAATTCGTTTGTATGAATATACCAGTACTTATGTGCTAGTTGCTTATAGGCAGACTGTCTGCCTCTTTTTACTGTTTTAAACATAGAAACAGTAGCCTTCTGTATCTTTTCGTACATCCTTAGGATAAAATTTTTAGACAAGTCAAATAATTTTTCATTTTTAAAAGTGATTTTGAACACAGTTAACCCATAGTCACTACAGAAAAAAATTGCAAATCCAGAGAGAATTTTTTTTTTTTTTTTTTTTTTTTTTTTTTTGGTGAGACAGAGTCTTGCTCTGTCACCCAGGCTGGAGTACAGTGGTACAATCTTGGCTCACTGCAACCTCCACCTCCCGGGTTCAAGTGATTCTCCTGCCTCAGCCTCCCGAGTAGCTGGGATTACAGGCACTCACTACCATGCCCAGCTAATTTTTGTATTTTTGTAGAGATGGAGTTTCACCATGTTGGCCAGGCTGGTCTCAAACTCCTGACCTCAAGTAATCTACCTGCCTCAGCCTCCCAAAGTGCTGGAATTATAGGCATGAGCCATCGCGCCCAGCCTATTCCAGGGAAAAATTAAAACTACCATAGCTGTTTCATTTAGCACAGAGTCTTTCAGATAACTCTCTGTGTGTGTGTGTGTGTGAATGTATTTTAATAGGATCACACAATACATGGAATTTTATTATCTGCTGTTTTCAATTAACCATATATTACAAACATTTTTGCACATCGCCCACATTGAAAATTCTGTGATATACCTGTAAACCAAAAATAAAATTCTAAGCCCCCTAACCAACTGAATAGGGCCAGGGGATTCCATAGTAAACCTGAAAAACTAGTTCAGGCCATGATGGGAAGGAGGTGTCAAACATGCCTCATTATACCCTCCTCCCTTTGGAATTCAGGCACAACTGACCAGCATTAACATTAAAACAGAAATCTTAGGAGTGACAAAACAGACTCTTTATAGCAATAAGATAACAAATTCCAACCTGACTCTAGTATAGTGTCATATAACAAATAGCAGACCCTAAAAGAAATTGAAGTATTTTACCCTGAAATATATTTCTTCGATGTATTTTGTCTTTTTTTGTTTTGTTTTTTGAGATGGAGTCTCACTCTGTCACCCAGGCTGGAGTGCAATGGCACAATCTCGGCACTACAACCTCTGCCTCCCGGGTTCAAGCCATTTTCCTGCCTCAGCCTCCCAAGTAGCTGGGATTGCAGGCACCCACCACCATACCTAGCTAATTTTTGTATTTTTAGTAGAGACAGGGTTTTACCATGTTGACCAGGTTGGTCTCAAATTCCTGACCTCAGGTAATCCACCTGCCTTGGCCTCCCAAAGTGCTAGGATTACAGGCGTGAGCCACCACTCCTGGCTTCTTTGATGTGTTTTGAAATGGCCCTGCAAAGGTTGTCTCTTGTGGGGAATATCTACGTTATGTAGAGAATCCCTTTACCTGTCCAGGTCTTTTCCTGATCCAGGAGAGATTAAGAGTCTGGTACCTATTTAGATCTGAAAAGAGACATTTACCATCTGTGTAGATGAAGCCTGCTACCTGGAGGCTTCATCTACATAGTAAGAACCCTGGTCTTCACAACCCCTTATCTTAACCCACACACTCCTTTCTCTTGATTCCTAGGCCTTTAGATAATGAGTTAACTTTTTCAACCAGTTGCCAATCAGAGTATCTTTGAATCTACCTGAGACCTGGAAGCCCCACCCTCGTTTGAGTTCTACCACCTTTCTAGACTAAACCACTGTACACCTTACATGTGTTGATTTGTGTTTGCCTGTAACTTCTAGTCCCCTAAAATGTATAAAATTAAGCTGTAACCCAGCCACCTTGGGCACATGTTCTCAAGACCTCGTGAGATTGTGCTTTTGGCCTTGGTCATTCATACTTGACTCAGAGTAAACCTCTTTTTTTTTTTTTTTTTTTTTTAAACAGAGTTTGACTCTTTTCATTGACATATCTGTAAGCATTAATTACAAAGTATTATTTAATCCAAATTTTCTGCTTTGGTCAGTGAACAGATTTTAAGTGGCTAACACATACAAAAGCACTCTAGTAGATTTGGAAGAGAAACAAGGTTGATCAGAACTGTTTGATGCCCTCAAAATATTTACCATCTACAAGGGAGTCTAAAACCATCATCCACATCATCTTATACCTTGTATCACAGATCCCAGAAGGTACAAAAGATGGGCTGTGAGAGTTCAGGTCAAGGAACGTTGTTGGCGAAGGAGATCAGGAAAGGGTCTGAAGAGGCAGTGATGGGAGGGTGTCACTGTGTGAAGATGGGGGAAGAAAGGTATTCCAGGTAGAAGGGCATAAGCTGAGGCATGCTGCCAGGAAACAAGACCTGCATCTCGATTCAGTGAGTACTGGCACTTAATGGATGCAGTCCCTGTACCAGTAAGGATGACAGGAGGAGTGGGAAATGAAGTTGGGAGGGTCAGCTGATGCCAGATTATGGATAGTTTAGAATCTCTGGCTCTGCAGTGTGGACTACATTTCCTGAGCAGTGGGTGCTATTTAGGCGTTGTCACATTTTGTTTTAGCTAGAATAACAATGGCACTGGAGCTGGCTGGGAGTAATGCTCTGAAGCATTGTGCCAGAGTGGAAATAGTGATGGAAGAGGGGCAGTAAGGATGCTACTTCCATGACTAGAAACCAAGGCTACGATGGTAGCAGCCAAAACAGAAAAGAAGAGATGCTGTGGAGTTAGAATGACGAGGCTCAGCAGTCTGCCTATGCTAATGAAATCAGGAGAGGTGATGAGTCAAAGGGGGTTCGGAGTTTTGGTGGCTGGGATAATAATCCCATTTTAAATTATGAGTTGCAAGAGTTGTGTTTTTTTAATCCTGCTTTTTCAGTCCTAGCATCACATACTCTGTACCTTTCTTTTTCCTGATAGGCAGTAATTTGGGATATACCTGTAAGTGCGGAGGCCTTCAGTCAGGAAGTCCCTTAAGCTCCCAGACATCCCAGCCTGAGCAAGAAGTGGGGACTTCAGAAGGAAAACCAGTCAGCAGCCTGGATGCCTTCCCCACTCAGGAAGATACACTGTCTCCAGTGAACCTGACAGACGACCAGATCGCCGCTGGCCTCTATGGTAACTTTTCTTACAGTCATTGGCATCAGGATTCTAGGGCCAGCATTGTCAGCATTCCAGTTTAATGTCAGTGTACCTTTTAAATTGACCTAGAAGAAAGTTAATATCGTTGTTTGGAAGGTAGGCCCAGAATATCTTTAAATAAGGTTACCACAGAGGCCAGGCATGGTGGTTCACACCTGTAATCCCGGCACTTTGGGAGGCCAAGGCAGGCAGATCACTTGAGGCCAGGAGTTCGAGACCAGCCTGGCCAACATGGTGAAACCCCATCTCTACTAAAAAATACAAAAATCAGCCAGGCATGGTGATGCGCACCTGTTAGTCCCAGCTACTCGGGCGGCTGAGGTGAGAGAGTCACTTGAACCTGGGAGGTGGAGGTTCCAGTGAACTGAGATCACGCCACTGCACTCCAGCCTGGGTGACAGAAAGTGACCCTGTCTCAAAATTACCAAAGAAAGAAAGCTGCACAAGAAAGCTTACCTGATATTACAAATTATGAAATATTTTAAATAACCTTTTATTCACATTCTGGCAGGTTATCACAGCTGAAGAAAAATAATAATCCCTGTTTAATGCCTAAATGGTCCTTGAGGCTCAAATGAGACACGACATCACTTTATAAGCAATAAAGCCGGACACAAATGTCAATTGTCACCACTTTGTTATGTCTGGAAGTACTAATTGATTTTTTTCCCATGTGAAGAATGTTATTAATGGAACTCTGAATTATTTTCTTTGCATGCCCGCACTTTCCCATTGAATTTTGTGGAAACTTCTCACATACACATGCCAAGATCTACATTTACATGCATGAGAAAAAAATTGTACAGGAAAAAAGATTATTCATTTAACATGTATGGGTATGAGTTTTCATTTTTATTACCTTGACTTTTTCACAGCATGTACAAACAATGAAAGTACACTGAAGTCCATCATGAAGAAGAAAGATGGTAACAAAGATTCAAATGGCGCGAAAAAGAATCTCCAGTTTGTTGGCATTAATGGAGGGTAAGGAAAGATGGTGGTTCTAGAGGCTAATGCTGTCGGTCTCCTTTGCCTCCTGCCTATCTAAGTCACATTTCAAGGTGCCTAGTCGGGGAAGCGGCCACAGCGCGGTGATGGAAGAGTCCCCCCTCAGAAAGGCAGAAAGGTGCATTTGGGCTTCTTTTCTTTCCTCTTCTTGCTGTCTTTAAGGATTTGTCACTGTCTTAAGGATACCTGATGAAGCCGAGCAGTTTACATATCCTCACCTCTGAGCTGAAAGAAATAGTCTTCAACGAATGCAGCAGGGTTCCTGCACTGTGTTGGACAACTTGTACTTAACCTGTATGAGAACTCACAACTGAGCAGAAAAAGACTGAGAGCATCACTCTCTGAGCCAACAATAGTCATCTGTTCCTTCAAAATGGGTCCTTTTGCTTAGCTCTCCATGTTTACCACCCAAATCATAGGGCCTTTCACAATTGATAGCCATATCACCAGTTTGCTTTCTAAATAGAATGGTTATTGTTTGTTCCTTCTCTTTCCATTGCCCCACGTATATAGTTAAGCCTCTTTGTCATCCTACAATTGAATCAAATCAATGAATTGATACATGGCCTCCATAAGAAAGAATACAAAGTTAGTTAAGATAATGTTTATAGCAAAGTGTACCATCAGGGTTTAACCTTATGGTGCCTGTTTTCCAAATCTTCAAAGTTTTATTCAGTGATATGACCAGGAGATTTTGGAGGGCATACACCAGCAGAACTATTGATTGCCTATGTAATCTATTCACCTTGATACTGGGAGGATTAATAGTATGAAATAGGAAGAAATGAATGAGATTGGGGGGGACAAAAACTTAGCAACTACCAATCTGTTTTCCATAAAATGTTTTCTCTTGATTTATACTAAGCCCGAGATGCCATTATTTTCTTTAACAAGTGTTACATGATACCAATTGGTTATATGATACTGATTACCAATTTAAGTTAGAATCCATTCAAAACCACCAGGCATTTAAATAGACCTTACTTTGAACTTCTAAGTGCAGGATCTAAAATCACTAGTGGAATTTCTGGAGTCAATTAGCAAATCCCTTCATAGAAATTTCTATCACTGGGGCTTTGTGGGCACAGCTTGCATCTCCTGAAATCCCAATTGCCACCTAGGTATGAAACAACTTCAAGTGATGATTCCAGCTCAGATGAAAGCTCTTCTTCCGAGTCAGATGACGAGTGTGATGTCATTGAGTATCCTCTTGAAGAAGAGGAAGAGGAGGAGGATGAAGACACTCGGGGAATGGCAGAAGGGCACCATGCAGTTAATATTGAAGGTTTCAAGTCTGCCAGGGTGGAAGATGAAATGCAGGTTCAAGAATGTGAACCTGAGAAGGTGGAAATCAGAGAGAGGTGTGGTACATTCCCCTTCCCTTCCTTGCCCCTCCCACATTTAATGTACTTTGGCAATCGAGTTGGCCAGTTCAGAGTTTTTATAATTAAATGTGTTTGCTTTTATCTGTTCCTCAGAGGTACACACATCTTGAGATACTAATATATACAAGTGCAGATTATGGCAACTCTTAAATCTCTTATGGTAGAAAAGAGAATGGCCTGATACCTAATCACCCTTGTTTTCTGAAACCTCAACTCTGCTATGTAATTTAATATATGAATATATGGAACCACAATCCACTAAAACTTCCATTGTTTGAACACCTTACCTTAAAGACTTTTTTTTTTTTTTGGTGGCCAGCATACTTTAAGACTTCAGATTTTATCTTTAGCTATTTGTGTTGATGCGGGTGTCAGTATCATTATTACCGGATCATTGTGTGGATGAGGCTTCAGCCAAAGATCACATTTACTGTAAAGATGATGCAGTATCACGTGTTTGTATTTTGTTATACATTGAGTGATCAGGAATACCACGAGAATGGATTTGAGTATATCATAAATAGTATCTGAAAAACACTGGTTGGCTGAAACACGTGCCTAAAAATGTAAGCTTTCAAGACCATTGATAAGGATTTGATGCTCATAAAATAGAGAATAGAAAAGATGGAAAGTTCAGTATGGTTTTTCACTATGTGAAGTATAAATAGAACACTTCAGAAAACTTAACCTCTATTTAATTTGGCAAATGAAAGTTTAACTGCATTAAAACAAGGTAAGTGTGTTTGGTTTATATTTCCAAGTGTTTCACATGGCTCTTTAACAGCTTTGAGATGTAATTTATATAACATATGTCATTTTTTATATGGGTTAAACACTTGAGTCACCAAGTGTGGGTTCGGATGTGTGGTTTAGTGGTCAGCAAAATGGATATACGGTAATTTGTGGAAAGTCAAGACAAGAGGATCGCTTGAGCACAGGAGTTCGAGACTAGCCTGGACAACATAGACTTCATCCCTATAAAAAAAATCAATTACCTGGGCATGGTGTCATATGCCAGCTACTCAGGAGGATAAGGTGGGAGGATCACTTGAACCCTGGAGGTTGAGGCTGCAGTGAGCCATGATCATGCCAGTACACTCCAGTCTGGGTGACAGAGCAAGACCCTGTCTCAGAAAAAAAGTAATGTGGGTCTCCCTTCAACCCCCTTAAGATTAAAAATATTTTTAAAAACTTAGAACAGGTTGGACACAGTGGCTCACACCCATAATCCCAATACTCTGGGAGGCTGAGGCAGACAAGCAGATAACTTGAGCCCAAGAGTTCGAGAGCAGCCTGGGCAACATGGTGAAACCCTGTCTCTACAAATAATACAAAGCCGGGTGTGGTGGCACACACGTGTATTCCCAGTTACTTGGGAGGCTGAGGTAGCAGGCTGGGCAACAGAGTGAGACCTTGTCTCAAAAAAAAAAAAAAAAAAAAAAAAAAAAACTTAAAAATGGCAAAAGAAAATCTCTAAATGTTACTCCAGAGTGTCATAAAGGCCAAATTGGTGACGCCGAAAGTCACCCTCCCAAACAAGGCCTCAATCTCTGGCTGGAGGTATTGGCTCTGCACAGTGCACATGACCCTTGGACACCTAAGGATGCCTGTGCTGCCTCTATCCAAGCACCTTGTGCCATAATGACCCACCCAGGCTGGCTTGGGGCCACTTGCCTTTTAAAAATACATTTTTAAAAGTTGAAGCTGGACATAGTGTCTGTCCCACACCTGTAATCCCAGCACTTTGTGAGGCCGAGGTGGGTGTATCACCTGAGGTCAGGAGTTCAAGACCAGCCTGGCCAACATAGTGAAACCCCGTCTCTACTAAAAATACAAAAATTAGCCGGGCCTGGTGGTACATACCTGTAGTCCCAGCTACTAGGGAGACTGAGGCAGGAGGATTGCTTGAATCCAGGAGGCCGTGGTTGCAGTGAGCCAAGATCATGCCACTGCACTCCAGCCTGGGTGACAAAGCAAGACCCTGTCTCAAAAAAAATTTATATATATATATATTTGGGTTGAAATAAAAATGATTTTCCTCTTGTGCCCAATCGTAAGTTCTTTTTTTCCCTTTCAGGTATGAATTAAGTGAAAAGATGTTGTCTGCATGCAACTTACTGAAAAATAATATAAATGACCCCAAAGCTTTGACCAGCAAAGATATGGTGAGTCTGACCTGCAAACACCATCCCCGTGTGTACAAGGTGCACAAGTGGGCTCATTGTCAAGGCCAACTGTAGGCTGCCCGAGTTGTCGCTTGCGTGCTTTTCTCCTGAACTGTTTGCAGCATGAGTGGACTGGGTGAACATCATGTCTCGCTCCCAGGATCACACTGCCAGTGTTTCCTTGAGGCCCAACTTCAGACATCCTTTACCCACCCTGTACTTTTTTGGGGGGTGGAGGCATCTGTGAGGCATACACTTGCAGACAGAAAGGAGGGCTAATTGCAGTCAATCGTCATCTTTCTACATATTTCATTTCTATTTATAGAACATTAAGATCCAGGGAGCAGCATCCAAGAATTTTTTTTTTTAAGTTAGGTTTCTTTTAAAAACATATGCTATCTGGGCCGAGGTCAGCATTCCTTTCAGTTATGAAACTGTGTGCTATGCTCTGATGTGGAATGCAGGCAGCCACTATTTTTCAACATAAAAATAACTGTACTTGTCATCTTCTCACAGTCTAAGAGATTCAGAGCAAACAGCAGAGTTTGTGGTTGCCTTAGTGATCATGAATGGTACAACATAGGACACATAAGTGTTTCTATGGCAATGGTTAATCTGACACCAAGGCCAAGAATGACACATTCTCATGTGTTGAAGTTATGTGCACATTCTTTCATAGGCCAGACTAACCCACTGGTTGACAGCTGTCTTCAGTGCATGGAGAAAATGTAGGATCCCCTAAGGATACCAAAATGCACAGATGCTCAAGTCCCTTATGTAAAATGGTGTAGTATTTGCATATAAACTACACATATACTTGAAATTCTGCCATATATCTTAAATCATTTCTATATAATAATACCTAATACAAGGCCAGGCGCAGTGGCTCATGCCTATAATCCCAAAACTTTGGGAGGCCGATGCTGGTGGATCACTTGAGGTCTGGGGTTCGAAACTAGCCTAGCCAACATGGTGAAATGCTGACAGTGTCGCCCAGGCCGGAGTGTAGTGGCGCGGTCTCAGCTCACTGCGAGCTCTGCCTCCCGGGTTCAGGCCATTCTCCTGCCTCAGCCTCCCAAGTAGCTGGGACTACAGGCGCCTATCACAATGCCCAGCTAATTTTTTGTATTTTTAGTAGAGATGGGGTTTCACTGTGTTAGTCAGGATGGTCTCAATCTCCTGACCTTGTGATCCTTCTGTCTCAGCCTCCCAAAGTGCTGGGATTACAGGCATGAGCCACCGCACCCGGCCTCAAAAACTTAATACAATGTAAATGCTATATAAATAGTTGTTATACTGTATTGTTTTGTATTGCATATTTTTCATATATTTTCACTCTGCCGGTGGTTCAATCTATGGAAATGGAACCTGTGGATACAGAGGGCCAGCTGTACTAAATAAAATTCCTGGTCAAGGCCAGGCACAGTGGCTCACACCTGTAATCCCAGCACTTTGGGAGGCCAAGGCAGTGGATCCCTTGAGCCCAGGAGTTCAGTTTGAGACCAGCCTGGGAAACATGGCAAAACCCTGTCTCTACAAAAAATACAAAAGTTAGCCAGGCATGATGGCATGTACCTGTGGTCCTAGCTACTTGGGAGGCTGAGGTAAGAAGATAGCTGGAGGCCCAGAAAGTTGAGGCTGCAGTGATCCATGATCATGCCATTGCACTCCAGCCTGGGAGACAGAGCAACACCCTCTCAAAAAAAAAAAAAAAAAAAATCCTAGTCAAGGGGAAACCTAGAAATACATATTGAAATTCTTGGATTTGTATTCATGAAAATACCTGGCTATACCTTGGTCACTAGTAAAACCATAAAATCTCACTGCAGTGTCAATATTTCCCATCAGGTTTAATCTAATCTTAAAACTTGGTGCTTTACAACCCCAAATTTTATAGCCATAGTATACTTTTCTTTCCCTGCTCTCAAAATACGTTACATGGCCTTTGGGAAGGATTTTGTTTTCCTGCATCCTACAAATTGCCAAGCATGGTGTCATCCACACCCTCTGTGATGGGTACATTTTTTTGTTAATTGAATTTTCATTTGGTGTGAAAGTGTTGTGTTGTGAAAAGTAGTGGACGAGTGAACCCAGTGCCAGGGCTAGATAATCATGTCAGGACACCAGTTATTTAGCAGTAATAGAGTTAGGATGACCGGAAGACATAATTTCCCTTCTTTCAGTGTGACAACTCCAAAGAAATAGAAATCTGAATACATAAAATACAGGGAAAAAAGGATACTTTTCAAGTGACCCAAAATGTGATTGAAAAGGTTAAAACTAAATAATCAGTAGCAGGATGATAAAGAGATGGAAGCTGTATAATCCCAACTCTGCCTTTTCTGCAGAAAGAGGACTTCTTAAGTTCAGATGCTTTTGACATAGGCTGTCTTTCTTTGATATGTTTTTAAACTTTTAAAGAGTAAGCACAGCAGAAATGAATATTAAACTCATATGAAGGAAGGTCCATTGAAAAGACATTGTAGTCATCCTCATCACCAGCACTGACTATATGCTCACTCTGTTGAGCTTCATGTAACCCAGGTTTGAGTTGATCATCCACAAAGCAAGTGCCTTCTTCATGTGTCCACAGCTTAAGAAAGTCAGAGTGGAACTGATGAGAAAATGAAATTAGTTCCAGATGGGCTTCCTTTTTATTTTCCCTTTCCATGGTTGAACAGTTGCATTTGGGATTGGGGTGGGAATTGGGTTGGCTATACCCTTACAGTCTCCCAATCTAGTGCTGTGCTGAGGAGTTGAAGGAAGTGAGTTTGAATAGGAAGGAAGCAGCATAATTCAGTGTAGGCTAGTTAATTTCTTCCTAATTGCTATGAAAATTGTTTTCAAGGCCAGTATGATTACATATATTAATAGCTTAATAAATTGAGTCAAGCCTTAGTGTTTATTCTCATCACAAAAACTATGAAAGAATGGTATTATCCCAATTTTTCAGATGAGGAAACGGAAGCAGAATAACTTCCCTAGGGTCATAAAGGTTTTAGGTAGCAGAGCCTGCATTTGAAACTCAGTGGTCTGGCTCCAGAGCCTCTGCTTCTGCACAGTGCTGTCTGGGCTCCTTTATAGACATGAGATCTAATCTACGTGTGGTTTAAAATCAGGAGGAATGTCCCAGTTTGGTGTTTGAAGCTTCCCTTAGCACTGTTGGGTTTTGAGAGCAGATTCTAACTGCATATATACTTTGACTATAAAAGGATAGGTTACTTGCGCTTTCAACTAGGTCTCAAAAAGTCTATAAATAGAACTAATGACCACACTGTGTTTTGGCAGAGGTTCTGTCTGAACACCCTCCAGCACGAGTGGTTCCGCGTGTCCAGTCAGAAGTCAGCCATTCCAGCCATGGTGGGGGACTACATAGCTGCTTTTGAGGCCATCTCCCCAGATGTCCTCCGCTATGTCATCAACTTGGCAGATGGCAACGGCAACACAGCCCTCCATTACAGCGTGTCCCACTCCAACTTCGAGATTGTGAAGCTGCTGTTGGATGCCGGTATGTTGGCTGCCCCTCTACCCCATCTCTTCTCTAACAGCACTTGGGTTGTGACTCATCTCAGAGAACCTGGTTGAGCTGCTCCCGAATTCTCTGACCATGCTAAAATCCTTTTTATTGCTTTTCCACATGACATGGCAAGAGTTTTCTTGAGTCAAGAGGGTTGAAGTTTAAACAAAACTGGGTGACACAGATTCCAGATCTGTTTTGAAAGGAGGTTTTGAGGATCTTCTTGCTGCTGCAGTTCAGCTGCATTCAAGTGAGAGGTGTATCCCTGGTAAGAAGCATGACTCACGTTCCCTCCTGAGCTGAATCATGCAGGCTTGGCCGGTTTGCACTCAGGAGGCAGAGTACTGCTTACAGGCCCAGAGTCACAGTCTTGGTGCTTGTGGACCACTTGATTTGTCCTTACTCCATGACTGCTGTCCTTGCAGAAGTGTGTGGTTAGTCAAGATGGGGACTAAGCAAAGCCACCATAACAGATGGTCAAATGATCACCATTCGCACCAAAATATTCTATTATTGGGGAAACAGCATAGAGCAAAGGGCATATGATTCTTGTCTCGCAACCATAATAGTAGAAACTTGTCATCCCAGAATAGAGCCAGTGGACGTCTTAGACATGAAGTGAGGGAGGGGCATATACACAGGTGGTCCCCTCAGGAAACTGAGCTTTCAACTTCTTGTTCAAATGGAGCAGCCCTGTGTCACATAGTCCCCAAATCTTTCAATTTTTGTAATACGTATTTTTACTTCGTGTGTCACAGAGAATCCACAGAACCTCAGTCTGATTAATGAGGATACAATGTGAACCTGACTTAAATTGGACAGTTTTATTGCATATTCTTCCAAAATTTTGTCTTCATCCACTGTCCAAATCTCTTCTGCTCTGTTTTGGGAACTTGGAATTAATGCAGAGAAGAAACCCAAGCAGATTTATCCTTCTTTTATAAGTGTTTGTTCCCTGTTTTTGAAGCCATGTTAGGATATAACTGCTTCCATCTTACAGGAAGGAATTTCAAGCCGCTCCTCTTTAGGCTTTCCAGACTATAAACAGAGCTGGTGATATGGTCAGCCGGAGTGATTAAACTGTTTAAACAGAAGTAGATAATATCCAGGGAAGCTGAAAACAAGATTTCACTATCACTCCTGACAGGAACAGCTTAGTATACTTAGAAGTAGATAAAACATCTTGGCAAATTAAATAATTTTAATGCCATTGTTGGATGGTTTGGGTTAATCACTTTTCTTAATGAAGTATTACTGCTCATCCTTCTAGACTGAGATTCTGGCTCCATAAGGTGCAGATCTAGGATACTTCAGCATCTATGCAGAGCAAAGTCTGAGAGGCTGAGGAGCCCCGAAGCGCACACGAACTCACCCGCTTCTCCACCACAGGGCCTTTTATTTTCTGCATTAAAAACACCCACTTTTAAAAACATGTCCTTAGCATGGAGTTGTTTGGGATCTTAAGGTAAATGTTCATGGTACCTTATCTTTTCCTTTATGATAGAAACATTCTAAACATTTTCACTTCATATTTGGTCCCACATAAAAGCTGCTTTCTAACACTTACCATTCCGGTCATTTCAGAGAAAGCGCTGAAGGAACTTTTAAATGCCCGAAGGATAATTTAGTCCCTGAAGACTCCTTAAGAATTACAGGAATAGAAAAGGTCTGGTTCATCGAGTCTGTTAAGGGGACTTAACTGCATTTGCTCTCAGACCATAAATTCTAGAGCTGGGTATTACATGATTGGAATTCTGCTTCTCAGGACCCCTGACAGGCTAGAGTAGTAAATTCAGAGTCTCAGAATGAATAGTGTTTGGATAAGTAGGTACCACCCTGTCCAACGTTCCATACATAAGCTTTTACAAACACTTCTTTGATGAGTAGCTCACTACCTGCTTCACTTTCCAAACACAGCTAAGTGCCTAGATTCCATATGATCATTTATTCTCAAGAGCAGCCATTAGAACAACCACCCAGACTTCCAAGCCATTGCATTTCTGCTACCAGTTGCAAACAAGATATGCTGTAGAAGCTTACCGTTGTTTCTGTTGCTTCAGGTCTCGTGAAATAGGAAAAAAAAAAAAAGTTTTTGGTTTAGTATGAAAACATCTCTCACATTTCATTCTAAGTCACTCTTGGTCTCCAGCCACCTGGTGCCATTTCACTGGGCTCCTGTAAACACCATCCCTTCAGTGGCTCTGTAAGCGGCTGCTGTTAGAAGGGTCTGCTTCCTAAGAGACTTTTTTTTGCAGATGTGTGTAATGTCGATCACCAGAACAAGGCAGGCTACACCCCCATCATGCTGGCAGCCCTCGCCGCTGTGGAAGCAGAGAAGGACATGCGGGTTGTGGAAGAACTCTTTGGCTGCGGGGATGTGAACGCCAAAGCTAGTCAGGTTACTGCGCTTGGTTCCCGTGCTCAAGAATGCACCCCTGACCAGCAGGCAGCAGACAGGACTGTGGTGGCCACTCTGGCAGACCAGGCATAGTTGCCACACTCCCACCACGTGCACTTGTTCGCAGGCCTGCCCTGAGTCCATGCACTGCCTGGTGCTCCTTGCTGAGCAAACACACCAGGGAAATATGGGCTTAAATTTCACACTGGAAACTTCTCCCTCCTTTGCCTTGCCTTTCCTCTGCTTGCATAGTTTGCATGGAAATGCTGTTAGTTCCCTTACATATAAATGACTGGGCATCCCCATCAGATACTTGGTGACTGTTGCTTCCTGTCTCTGTGTTGCAGTGTCTTTGTCACAGGTGATGTTCTAGGTCCAGATGTGTTCACAGCTTGACTTTTTTTTTTTTTTTAAAGAAACAGTCTCGCTCTGTCGCCCAGGCTGGAGTGCAGTGGCATGATCTTGGCTCACTGCAACCTCCACCTCCTGGGTTCAAGCGATTCTCCTGCCTTAGCCTCCCGAGTAGCTGGGACTAACAGGCATGTGCCACCACACTTGGTTTTTTTTGGGGGGTTTCAGTGTTGCCCAGGCTGCTCTTGAACTCCTGAGCTCAGGCAATCTGCCCACCTCGGCCTCCCAAAGTGCTAGGGTTACAGGCGTGACCCACCGCCCAGTTTGACTTTAACCACCTGAACTTCCAACCCCTCACTGTACTGAGACATCCTCCACACTAAAGGGAAATTGGCTCCTTACTTTATGCCCTTTCTTAGCTCATAGCTCATGGGAAGCTGGTTTCTCCTTGCTTGCCACCACCCACCCCAAGTAGTTCCATGGCCAGTTCTTTCCCTTCTGTCACCACACTGTTTTCCCCCTTTCCCTAGCACAGCCCCACTAGGGGCCACCACTGCCAGCTCAGTATGTACTTCTGAAGTCCCTGTGATCTCTTCCCACAGGCGGGACAGACGGCCCTCATGCTGGCGGTCAGTCACGGACGGATAGACATGGTGAAGGGCCTGCTGGCCTGTGGGGCTGACGTCAACATCCAGGATGACGAGGGCTCCACGGCCCTCATGTGTGCCAGTGAGCATGGGCATGTGGAGATCGTCAAGCTGCTGCTGGCCCAGCCCGGCTGCAATGGTCACCTGGAGGACAACGTAAGCTGTCTCCACTGGGCCTCCTGGCCAGGGGTCTGGGGAACTCTGGGCGGGAGCTCTGGGAGTGCTGTTTGACCAGGGGAGACCAAATCCTCCTTTATTCTCCTCTTGGATTTGTGTTGCCATCCAGGCGCCTCCCTTCACAGCCAAGCTTGGCTACACTTAGTGTGTGTAAACTAACACTCTCAAACTAGTGCCCAAAGCAGAATAGGTCCTACCCCATAATTCATGACATGAAAAAGTGACTCAACGGGCATGTCCAAGAGGCACTCTACTAAAGGGGAATCAATGGATTTGAACTGCAGAATCAAATTCACTGTAGGTGACTTCTGACAGGTCCACTTGGAAATCTGGATTATTAATCATTAGAGGCTGGGGTTACACAGTGACTAACACCAGTTCCTACTACAGTGAACCTTTCCCACCCAAAGTGAAGGCACTGTGACCCATCAAAGTGAGTAGCTTATGACACAGCATACCCCAGAGCCTGCAGACTAGCTTGACTTCTTGAAGCATTTTCCCATTTCTTCTCAGTCTGTCCCATCAACACCACTCGGCTCTCTTCTCCCAGTTCCCAGGCTGTCCACATTTCCATCTAACTCCTTGACCGGGAAACCCAAGCAAGTGGGGTACTTCTGGGTGTCTCCAGGCCAAAGGAGAGGCATGGCGATAGGTAGAAGGCATGGGAACTGGTGTGTAGGCAGTGAGATGGTTTAATAGATGGTCATAGAGGTCGGGCTGGCTTGGTTCTGTTTGTGAAAGTTTCTCTCTACGGATCACAGGTTTGGATCAGAGCTTCTTCAGTTCAAAACACCAAAAAGTTAGGAAAATATCCTTTGTAGGTCAGATCCTTCTGGGCCCAAGCCAGTAGGGAGAACAAACCAGTTGAGCTTTTCACTGGTATGAGGGACTGACTAGCTTCACACTCAGTTACCTCCACAGGAGCACACAGGAGCTACAGCTGTACCAGATTCCCTTCTTCCCCTGTGGGAGGGAGAGCTTCTGACTTGTTTCTTCCAGAAGAGTTTGTTAGCTGTGCTGTGGTTTTTGTTTGATTTTACTTCTATTCTCTTTCAAAATTCAGAGCGTGTGAGGGAAGGATCCTAAGATTAAACCAAAGGAGAACTGTGTCGTCCTGCTGCTGCTGACCAGAGGGAAATCCTTATTTCAAGACTAGATAGGCTGGGCACAGTGGGTCACTCCTGTAATTCCAGCACTTTGGGAGGCTGAGACAGGAGGATCGCTCTAGCCCAGGAGTTCAAGACCAGCCTGGGCAACATAGTGAGACTCCCATCTCTACAAAAAAAAATTATCCAGGTGTGGTGGTACACACCTGTAGTCCCAGCTACCTTGGAGGTTGAGGTGGGAGAATTACTTAAGCCCTGGAGGTCAAGACTACAGTGATGTGTGATTGTCCCACTGCTCTGCAGCCTGGGAGGCAGACCCTGTCTCAAAAAACAAAGACTAGACAGAAAACAAGTTATGTTCTTTCCCTTGATACTCCTGTATATCCATCTATAATCGCTGAAATTTAATGGAAATCAAGCAGTTAAGTGAAGCTTTTTTCCCCCATATGTAGTGTTTCCCCTCTTATTTCCAGAATACGTATCTATGTAACCCACTGGGATTGTGTGCTTACACACAGATGTTCCTTGGAGCCTTAAACAGAGGTGGTTAGGGTTTTAGGATCACAGTGCCCTAAGAGGAAAGGTAAAAGATCTTTGGCAAATTGCAGTCTAAACACACACTACTGCTGCTTGCCTGGTCATTCATAATTATAAGAAAAAAAAAAAACTTTCTGTCCCCATCTTCTGCTTCCCCCTCCTGGTGGGCAGAATGCTTGGTAACTGGGACCTCTGGAGGGTGGAGGCTTGCCTCGTTCATCTTCACATCCTCAGGCCTTCACACTTACAGGTCCTGAAAAAGTTTCCCAGAGGACGGAACAAGGAGGGATATTTGGGGAACCTTGCCAATTACTGGAGGGTGTTTTGTTCTGCTACCTTTTGGTTGCCTGGAGGTTTGAGAAACCCAACATGGCTTATTCTTTCCGTCTTATCTTAAGGATGGCAGCACCGCGCTCTCGATCGCCCTGGAAGCAGGACACAAGGACATCGCTGTTCTTCTGTATGCCCATGTCAACTTTGCAAAAGCCCAGTCTCCGGTCAGTGTTGTGCATTTGGCATTTGTAAATAGGCTAAAATCCACCAGACTGGTGGACCCCCTTCCTCCAGGAACTGACAGGAGACAGATTTTATGTTGATTCAGAAAATGGAAGTTTTAGTCTGGAACTTAAGAGTTCTTCCTTTCTGCCTCTGCCCCTAAAGGGCAGGAGAACTGTTTTAGCAGAGGCTGGGCCCTGCTTGTCCTTGTAAGACAGATGCTCTCACAGCTTCCCATAGAGGTTTTGATTCTGTGCAGAATTATCCAGATAGCACCCTCCGAGCCCATGGGGATATTTCACCATGGTTCTGGCATTGTTCCTGAAGCAGATGGCAGGCAGCCTGTAGTCCACAGTTCACTCTGAGTGGGAAGGTGACTTCCCAGGACAGCCGGACATAGCACTGCTGAGCCCAGCTGGCCTTGGAGCTGTGGACACCTGTTCCCTCTTCTCAGAGCTCTCCTGGCTCGGACTCACAGCTGGTTGTTGGCTGTGGTGGGCCAAGATCCTATGTCACAGGGTACACGTCTGCCTGAAGTCACTTATTAACCCCCAGTTTTTTTCCTTTCCTGGTCTCTAGGGCACCCCTAGGCTTGGAAGGAAGACGTCTCCTGGCCCCACCCACCGAGGTTCATTTGATTGATTGTATGCAAATAGCCCTCATTTACATGCCACCATTAAGCTGCTAATTGTTCCTGTTGGGGTGACAGATACTGAATGTATATGTATTGTGCCTGAGCTCACCAGCAAACGGAAGCATCAAGCCCAGGGGTAAAGGCTGAAGCTTTCATAGTGCAGAGATTGCCAGCCTGGGCACACACACCTCCTTTCTGGCCATCTTCTCTCTGTGTAGGGCACACTTTAACCCAGTCTCTGTTGCTGTTGAGTCTCAGCACTGTTTTGTACAGTCATAGGAAATTCTGACCTGATCTGAAGGGGTACCTTCTGTTCACTCCCACAAAGAAGTGTCAGGTTCTCATTGAGATGTTTTAAAATTTTTCCTCAAATATTTACATTTATTAAATGTGGAACTATTAGGAAGCTCTTCCAAAATCTCATTCCAGCATAGTTTTGATTTTTCTTGTCTTATTTTAAAATAAGGAAGTTGAGATGACTTTGATCATCGGTAACTTGGGCCTGGGCTAGACAAAACTCTCAAAGTATAAAACTTACACAACAATATTCTCATTTGGTTTTATCTAGGTAGATGTAATATATGACTTTTTATAAAAAGAGTATCTATATGAAATTGACACAGTATTTTCAACTTTTATATTCCATACTAAAGATATGAAGAACTACATGTAACATTATCATTTTTATTAATTGCACAACTCTAATGATAAAGGCTGGATTGTGTTAGAGGAATTGGCTCTTGTATTTGCCTCTAGAGAAACATGGTGTAGTTCTCTTTGTATTTATGGATTCCTTTATACCATGTCACATTTACTTTGGTCCTCTATGTATTTAAATGTTTGAAGTGCCTTAGACTCTTGCCATATTTTCAAAATAAAATTTCATTAAGCTCTTTTGCTTGTCCCTGATTCATCTCTGACAGCTGTCCACCCCGAGCCGATTGACTTAGCAGCAGTGGCAGCACACGCTGATGGATTGAGCTGAGCAGGGAGGGCGAGTATGCCAGTCCACTGGTCACAGGCTCCAGGCTCCGACAGGGAGACAGCATCTTCCAAGGGCACTTGTCCACTTCCAGAGCTTGACTCCTGACTGGGATTGTGAGTCAGGAGGCTGAAGTTTGAGGCCTCCTTAGGCAAAGCACTCTTCCGACAGGTAGCCTCCAAGGGGAGCCCGAGGTGGTTCTTCTCAGGTGCGGAAGCACTAGTCCTTGACTCTGAGTACAACTGCCAGGTGACTGGGTGAAACGTGTAGTGACAAGAAAGGAGAGATGAAGCCGGGCTTTTTTTTGTTTGTTTTTTTGAGACAGAGTCTCGCTCTGTTGCCCAGGCTGGAATGCAGTGGCGTGATCTCAGCTCATTGCAAGCTCCGCTTCTCAGGTTCGCGCCATTCTCCTGCCTCAGCTTCCAGAGTTTAGCTGGGACTACAGGCACCCACCACCACGCCCAGCTAATTTTTTGTATTTTTAGTAGACACAGGGTTTCACCGTGTTGGCCAGGATGGTCTTGATCTCCTGACCCCTCGTGATCCACCCGCCTCGGCCTCCTGAAGTGCTGGGATTACAAGCATGAGCCACTGCATCTGGCCTCAAATTCTTTTTAAACAGTAAAGGAAATTGGAACCGTCTCATTAAATGAAGCAGCATGACAGCCAGAATTCAAACTAGGCATTTTGGCACAATTGCTGGTGGTGAATTTTGACCAAGGCCATCTGTGAGAGCCAAGTGCACTGGAGAAATATCAGACTTCTTTCCCTCCCTCCCTCCTTCCCCTTTTTAAAAATTAAACATTATTGAGCTCAGGAAAAAGGCCAGAGAATAGACTTTTCCCATAGGTGTTTCATTATGAGGTCTGTTTCAGAGTCAAGATCTGAACCTTTTGGAGGAAAACTTGGGGGGGGCTGAGAGAGCCATGCAGGCAGACCTGGGCAGCAACAGACCAGCTCTCCCAGGACCACATGGACGACCTTCCTCCTCTGCATGAACTGTGAAAGTGAGGTCACAGCCACAGAGAGACAGAGAGAGAGAGAGAGAGTTTGTGTGTGCGTGTGTGTGTGTGTGTAGAGAGGTAGAGCTGTGCGTGGCCTGCCCCTTATGGGCATGACCTACCTTTTGAGCAAATAAGGTTGTATCTCTGGTGGTTTGTGGGCCTGGAAATTTTCTTTGTTCCATCTGAGAAAGGAAAGGCATGAATGTAAATAAATGAGCAAATGAACCCCCGGGTCTGCATGCTGCCCTCTGATTTCTCATGCTAGATTTTGAAAAAGAAAATGAGTGTTTGTTTTATCATTGAGTGAGGTCTTACACGATATGTATCTAACCTCTATGTAATGAATGCTAGCTGGTACCTTGTTTGCTCTAATCACACTAGGCATTTAGAATGCCTTTTATCTTGGGATCCTGGTACACTTTATAAACAAACCTGATTATCCCCATTGGTACGGCTGCAGTTTATTGAGGTACAAACTCCATAAAATGGATTTGTGACAAGAGGCTTGGGCAAGGTTCCCAAGTAAGGCCAGCATGGGGTTGGCAACTCTTGATCTTATTTTCCAGCTTAAGAGAAGTCTAGGCAGGTGTGGTGGCTCGCACCCATAATCTTAGCACTTTGGGAGGCTGAGGCAGGCAGATCACTTGAGACCAGGAGTTCGAGACAAGCCTGGGCAATATAGCAAGACCCCATCTCTACATCAGATAAAAATTAGCTGGGTGTGGTGGCATGCACTGTAGTGCCAGCTACTTGGGGGCTGAGACAGGAGAATCACCTTGGCCCAGGAAGTCAAGGCTACAGTACGCCATGATTGTGCCACTGCACTCCAGCCTGGGTGGTAGAGTGAGACCCTGTCTCACACATACACAATGTTTAAACCATTAAGTGACGAAGAGCCAATTTCCCAGAAACCTTGCCTGGGAAGTCAAGCCACTGACAGTTGGGAGCCACCCCAAGACAACAGGAATGGAACAGTGGGACTTTTGAGAGTTTAATGTTAAGAAAGTAAAACTAAGCCAAGTGTGGTGGCTCATACCGGTAATCCCAGCTACTGGGACAGAGGCTGAGGTGAGAGGATTGCTTAAGTCCAGAAGTTTGAGGCCAGCCTGGCTAATGTAGTGAGACCCCCATCTCTTTTTTTTTAAAAAAAAAAAAAGGAAAAAGAAAAACTGGCAACTTGTCCTGACACTATTACAACTAAACTGACAACTAAATGCCTCACCAAGGGGGAGGAAGGGTGCTTCTGGAGAAATTTACTAGGAGCATTTCATCTAGCACTGGTCTCCAAAATAAATGAAGCACTGAGCCGTTTCCTTATAAGTTGTCAATACTTGGGAGAAGAACAGTATCCCTGATTTTAGTAGTACTGAAGTACTGATGGTATCTGATAGTCCTTGCAGATGGAATCACATAAGAAAACCATTTCTCCTTCAAAGGAAATAATGACCAAATATAACCTTTCTGTAAATCCTGCTAGATCTTTTGGGGGGAGCTTGCTACAAGTAGAATTACATTTTTATGATTTCATATAAGCCTTCCCTTCACAGGATGCTTAAAAATTCCCAGAGGGAGCAGGCAGAAAATGCAAATTTCAGTCGGGCACGGTGGCACACGCCCATTATCCTAGCACTTTGGGAGGCCGAGGCAGGCAGATCACCTGAACTCAGGAATTCAAGATCAGCCTGGGCATGGCGAAACCCCATCTCTACCAAAACTACAAAAAACTAGCTGGGCATGGTGGTGTAGGCCTGTAATTTCAGCTACTTGGGCGGCGGAGGTTGTAATGAGTCGAGATCACCCCGTGGCACTCCAGCCTGGCCAACAGAACGAGACTCTGTTCTCCAAGAAAAGCACATTTCCAGCCTGCTCTGAGGATTCTGTCTTTCAGTCTGAGAATCCCTGTCCTTGACAAGCATTCCAGGTGTTTCTGAACATAGCCTTTGGTCCACACTAAGAAGCTGTTGCTCCCAAAGTATGAAACATGATACATCTATTCTTCCCCAAATGTGTTAGGCAAGGTCAGGGAGCTGCATCAAAACAAACATTGGCTTTCCCTTAGCTCTATAAGGAGCCACCTTTCACTGGTGATCAGGATCCCACATAGGCTTTCTGTGCTGCACATCCATGTTCAGTAGCATTTCTGCATCTCCTGGAATAGTCATTTCTAGAAGGCCAGTAAACACAGCTGCTACAGATCCATTTTTCTGTGCTTATAAGGACCAGAGAGGGTGGCTCAGTATATAGATGACAGTGGCTGGGTAGGCAGACAGCTTAGAATATTTTCCCAAGCTAATCTTTTCCATTTCCACTTCCTCGTGGAGCTGGACTGTTACTGCTCAGGAGGAGGCCATGAACCATTGCTTTGGCTTTGGAATAAAGACAATTTTCCATTTTCTTTTTTTACTAAAAGCACATTTTTTAAAGCCCTGGGCCTTAGCCAGAAACTGTTCCACTTTCTACATAAGGAAATTACTAATCATATGTTTTCTCTGCTCTTATTCAGCATGGCTGTAATTTAAAAGCCAACTGATTATAAAAATATATTTAAAGTACATTTTGTTGCAGTTTATTACCACAAAGGATGTGGCTGAATTGTAGACCACAGTGTCCCTGAGCTGCTCACTCTCGAGCCCCTCCCCACTGAAGGCACCAGCTATTCCCTACAGGGACCCTACAGTCACAGCTTTTCAAGTATGAAAGATGGAATTAATTGGAACTTGTAATGGTATCCTTGAGATACCTATCCTGAATTCTGGCAAGGATCTTGCAGTGAAGCTGGAAAACAACATACCATTTTTGCAGGTGCATGCTCAAACAGAAATGTCTGATTTAGAGGATACTGGGAAGGAGCTGGCATTTTAAGAATCCAGCTGTCCACTCCTCCATTAAGACCTTTGTTGATTAAATAGATAAGAGAATGAGAAACGTATCCTTAATTTTCATAAAATGGAAGCTGCATAAGAAATATTCCTATTTCTAAAACCAAATGTCAATCTTATATTTGAGCCAAAATAAGTTGTACACGTTCCCCATTCTTCAACCCAGAAGGAACTAGTTACCCAGCCCTAGAAACCTCCTGGAAGGCTGAGGCTGTGAGACTGAGAGCGAGAGAAAATACCTGAGCTGTAGACAGGTGGGTGCTGCTTTGCTGTCACTGGTGCAGGCAGCTCGATGCCGTGTTGAGGCTGGTTGTAGGACAGCAGGTGCCAGCTGGGCAGGCTGCTTCTCATGTGTCAGGCAGCAAGGAGATTCTTGCTATGGTCCCATCTGCTCTTGTAGGAAGTACTGGATGTGCTTAAATAAACAGGTAATAAGAAAAATATTTATTAGGTAAAATCCCTGAGAGTTCAGAGAGCTCACCCACCCCCAATCCTGCCTAAAATAGGTCACGCCCCAGAAAATCCAGTCTACCAACAGGAAGCTTACTAGGATGAAATCTTGTGTTGGGTTTGTAACACTATCTGCCAGGACTGAGAAGTTCCGGTGCCTAGCTGAGAAATACTAGTTGAATGAATGAGTGTAAAAAAATAGCTGAAGTATGGTGTTGGAAATCAGGAGTGTTGCCATGAGGGAGCTGGAAAGAGCCCAAACGGGGCTGGTGAGCTCCTGGTAATGGTTGATTTCTTGCCTGGGGGGGTAGCTGAACTGTTATGCTCACTTTGTGACCATTCATCAGGCTGCAGACACACGGATTTGTGTGCTTTCCTGTATGTATATTAACTTCTTTTTTTCTCCAAGTTTAAGAAAATGAAAAAGTTTGATCAAAAAAGATCTTGGGAAGGAGGGTGTAGATTTGAGAGTCAATATGATCAAAGAGATAGTGAAAGAATGTAAAAGCTGGAAAGTCTTAGCCCTGCTATTTCTTGAATGTGAACACATAGCTTTGCATGATGGCCCTTGTGGCCCAC